CCCCCCCATGCCACCCCTTCCCTCTTCTGGCCCAGACCCCCATTCTGGGCTTGAAAACCTGGGTCTGGGCCAGATCAAGATGAAGGCTTTGCAGGGCCGGGCAACACGGCAGCCCCTTCTTAGTCTTTCTCATCTTGGGTGGTCAGAGGGTGGGGTGGGGAAAAGCAACTTCGGGACCCCCATTCTGGGGTTGGAAACCTGGATGAGGGCTTCGCAACCCCCCCCCACCCCCCCCCACCCCCCCACCCCGAGAACGAATGCAAGCAGAATGAAGACGAGCTGAGAAATACGAGCAGAGAGAGAACGACTTCAAGGGCTCCAAGAGGGCGGTTGGGAAGGCGGGTTTCCAGCCCTAAAAACTCCAAGACCATGATTCCCAACCCCCCCTTCAAAAGGCTCCAGAGAGGGGGTTGGGAAGGCGGGTTTCCAGCCCAAAACACTCCAAGACCATGATTCCCAACCCCCCCTTCAGAGAGGGGGGTTGGGAAGGCGGGTTTCCAGCCCAAAACACTCCAAGACCATGATTCCCACCCCCCCCTTCAAAGGCTCCAGAGAGGGGGGTTGGGAAGGCGGGTTTCCAGCCCAAAACACTCCAAGACCATGATTCCCAAACCCCCCTTCAAGGGCTCCGAATACGGGTAGTTGGTTCTAGGGTGGGTTGGGGATTGGCTCGAACTGGAATGGTTCGAGGGTGGGGTGGGGGAAAACAAAACATTATGTTAACAAAATTAGGGTTTTTTTGTCAATCCGGACCAACACTTTTGGTTCTACCTTCGGTCTGGGAAAGCAAGCGCGAAGACAAGGGACATGCGACAAAGCCGACGAGCACGAAGGGAGGGGACATACGACAAACCCTAAGAACACGAAGGGAGGGGACGTACGACAAACCTTTAGACCTCTCATCAAACCATACGAGCACGAAGGGAGGGGACATACGACAAACCCTACGAGCACGAAGGGAGGGGACATACGACAAACCTCTGAGAATAAAATCTCAGTTTCTGAATTCTTGGGATTCTTTGCAAGCAGACGAAGAGGGACAGACGACAAAGCCGACGAGCACGAAGGGAGGCGACATACGACAAACTCTAACAGCACGAAGGGAGGGGACGTGCGACAAACCTGTAGACCTCTCATCAAACCCTACGAGCATGAAGGGAGGGACATACGACAAACCCTACGAGCACGAAGAGAGGGGACATACGACAAACCTCTAGGCCTCTCATCAAACCCTACGAGCAGGATCCAACATGAGGCGAGGTCACCGGGGCACTAATTGGAAAGCAACCATGTGGAAGCCAGGCAGCTTAAAGTGTGCCAAACACAACCAACAAGACGGCCAAAAATAGGCAGGGTCACCGGGGAAAACGAACACGAGCAAAGTGAATATGAGCAGAAAGAGAACGAATACGAGCAGACTGACGTCGAGCAGAGAGAGAACGAACACGAGCAGAATGAATACGAGCAGAAAGAGAATGAGTACGAGCAGACTCAGTACGAGCAGAAAGACAGCGAAAACGAGCGGACTGAAATCGAGCAGAGAGAGAGAACGAACACGCGCAGAAAGAGCACGAACACGATCAGAAAGAGAACGAACACGAGCAAAATGAATATGAGCAGAAAGAGAACGAATACGAGCAGAATGATTACGAGCAGAGAGAGAACGAAGACGAGCAGACTGAAATCGAGCAGAGAGAGAGAACGAATACGAACAGAATGAATACGAGAAGAAAAACAACGAACTGAAATCGAGCAGAGAGAGAACGAATACGAGCAGAATGAATACGAGCAGAACGAGAACGAACACGAGACGAGCAGATCAGAAAAAAAACGAATTCGAGCAGAATGAATACGAGCAGAAAGAAACGCATACGAGCAGAATGGAAACCAAGCAGAATGACAAAGAACACGAGCAGAATGAATAAATGAGGTTGGAAGACAGGGCTTGCTGAGGAAAATGAGAACTTTATATTTCTTAATGTTTTGGGATTCTCTGGGTGGGTGGGTTTTTTTCTAGAGTCCAGACAGCGGCTCTACTAGAGATTGCTCGACCCAGAGCTGCTGAACTCTCTCTATCATATAATAATTTAAACCTTAATGGGGAACGTGGCCATTGGCAAAAAAACCGTGGCCATTGGCAAAAAAACCGTGGCCATTGGCAAAAAAGCCGTGGCCATTGGCAAATTCGCCAATGGCCACGGGAAAGTTGCCAATGGCCACTGCTTTTTTGCCAATGGCCACCAATGTCATTAAGGTTGGTCGCCAAAATGGGTTTTTCAAACCCAATTCGCACAAAATGCCCCCCAACCTTAATGGGGAACGTGGCCATTGGCAAAAAAGCCGTGGCCATTGGCAACTTTTCGGGCTTTTTGCCAATGGCCACGGCTTTTTTGCCAATGGCCACGTTCCCCATTAAGGTTGGGCCCCAACCTTAATGGGGAACGTGGCCATTGGCAAAAAAGCCGTGGCCATTGGCAAGTGGCATTTGCCAATGGCCACGGGAAAGTTGCCAATGGCCACGGCTTTTTTGCCAATGGCCACGGCTTTTTTGCCAATGGCCACGGCTTTTTTGCCAATGGCCACGGCTTTTTTTTGCCAATGGCCACGGCTTTTTTGCCAAGGCCACGGCTTCCACCCCACCCCCCCACCCCCCCCACCCCCCCCACCCCCCCAACCCCCCACCGCCCCCCACTCCCCGCCCACCCCCTCCCCCCCCCACCCCCCCCACCCCCCCCAACCCCCCCCACCCCCACCCCCCCCACCCCCCCCACCCCCCCCACCCCCCCCACCCCCCACCCCCCCCCCCCCCCCCCCCCACCACCCCCCCCCACCCCCCCACCCCCCCCACCCCCCCCACCCCCCCCACCACCCCCCCCAACCCCCCCCCACCACCCCCCCCCTCCCAGTCCCCCACCCCAACCCCCCCAACCACGAATCAGCACAATGGCCACGTTCCCCCCCCCCCTCAACCCCTCTCTGAAGCGCCTCTTCTGGCCCAGACCCCCATTCTGGGCTTGAAAACCTGGGTCTGGGCCAGATGAGGGTTTGCGGGGTGAGAGCCAAAAAGGCGGTCACCGGGGCACTAATTCCAAAGCAACCATGTGGAAGCCAGGCAGCCAAAACAACCAGCGAGACGGCCAGCACGGTCACCGGGGAACTTTAGATCAGCCCCCATCAAGCAAAGCAAAAATCCAGAATGTAAGCAATCAGCGCCCCAGCAAGCACGAACAAACCCAGTAAGTAAGCAAGCAGCACCCCGCCCCCACCCCGACAACAAAGAACGAATACGGGTAGTTGGTTCTAGGGTGGGTTGGGGATTGGCTCGAACTGGAATGGTTCGAGGGTGGGGTGGGGGAAAACAAAACATGAGGTTAACAAATTAGTTTTTTGTCAATCCGGACCAACACTTTTGGTTCTACCTTCGGTCTGGGGAAAGCAAGCGCGAAGACAAGGGACATGCGACAAAGCCGACGAGCACGAAGGGAGGGGACATACGACAAACCCTAAGAGCGCGAAGGGAAGGGACATGCGACGAATCTGTAGACCTTTCATCAAACCCTACGAGCACGAAGGGAGGGGACATACGACAAACCTCAAAAATAAACCCGTACATTTCTCAATGTTTTGGGAATATCTGCAAGCAGAAGAAAAGGGACATACGACAAAGCCGACGAGCACGAAGGGAGGGGACATACGACAAACCTCTGAAAATAAAACCTCAGTTTCGTAATTCTTGGGATTCTCTGCAAGCAGACAAAGAGGGACATACGACAAAGCCGACGAGCACGAAGGGAGGCGACATACGACAAAATCTAAGAGCACGAAGGGAGGGGACGTACGACAAACCTGTAGACCTCTCATCAAACCCTACGAGCATGAAGGGAGGGACATACGACAAACCCTACGAGCACGAAGAGAGGGGACATACGACAAACCTCTAGGCCTCTCATCAAACCCTACGCGCAGGAGCCAACATGAGGCGAGGTCACCGGGGCACTAATTGGAAAGAAACCATGTGGAAGCCAGGCAGCTTAAAGTGTGCCAAACACAACCAACAAGACGGCCAAAAATAGGCAGGGTCACCGGGAAAACGAACACGAGCAAAGTGAATATGAGCAGAAAGAGAACGAATACGAGCAGACTGGCGTCGAGCAGAGAGAGAACGAATACGAGCAGAATGAATACGAGCAGAAAGAGAATGAGTACGAGCAGACTCAGTACGAGCAGAAAGACAGCGAAAACGAGCGGCTTGAAATCGAGCAGAGAGAGAACGAATACGTGCAGAAAAAGCACGAACACGAGCAGAAAGAGAACGAACACGAGCAAAATGAATATTCTTGGAGGGTGCTCCGATGCTTCTGCTCTCAAGCCCTCAGAGCAACATGCACTCACAGAGTCTCCGACTTGTTTGCACGCTCGCTTGCTCACTCCTCACGACTCACGGAAAGAGAGGGCGGCTTTCAGCCGCTGCTGCCACAGGCCGCTCGTTTGCGGCAAGTGGCAAAGTCTTCAAACACACAGCTCGTGGTGGCGGGGCGGTGGTGGCCGAAAAAACTTGCCGGGTGAGTGCATTGAATCATGCTGTACACCTCAAAGAATGTGGGCCATTCTTGGAGGGTGCTCCGATGCTTCTGCTCTCAAGCCCTCAGAGCAACATGCACTCACAGAGTCTCCGACTTGTTTGCACGCTCGCTTGCTCACTCCTCACGACTCACGGAAAGAGAGGGCGGCTTTCAGCCGCTGCTGCCACAGGCCGCTCGTTTGCGGCAAGTGGCAAAGTCTTCAAACACACAGCTCTCCCAACCTGACCCACACGGGCGGGCGGGCGGGACTACAAGCGCGCTTCGACGCGCCCCGCAGCATCACGACATGCAGCCAGGATATTCATGAAACAACCCCCCAAAGACCCAACCCGGCACCGAACCCCAGGGGAAAAACGAACCAGGACCTCGGTCGCGCCCAATTCCTGGACATATGTTTCCAGCATACGGAATGACTTCCAACGACCGCGCCATTGTAAGCGCGTCAGGTCCTCATCCCAGTATCTGAAAAGAAAAGTAGCGCCTCCGGGACGTAGCGAGGACGGCAGGAAAGTGACAGCGCCCAAAACCTCAGTTTGGAGTGCTCCAAACCTCAGCTTAAACGAGGCCCAAGAGCCATTCCAAATCCGCCTCCACATCGGGGTCGTCCCTACCACCAAGGTGATCCACGTGGCCACACCCGGAAACTCGACTCGAACATGTTGGGAGGTTGCAGCCCGAAATCTGGTTTTGGGATGAGGCACGCGGATGTACAGCACGTCTTCTTCGAAGTGGTCGCCTGGCAATGCCAGATCTTGCCGACGTAGTCCAATAAGCTCGGAGGGCCTCAGCAATCCAAAAAAGCCAAGCACCAGCAAAGCCGCCATCCGCGGCCACCGCCAGAGCAGAGCAGTAACGACAAGTGCATCGTTCACCGCCTTGGGTACCGGCGGGTGATGTTGTACTGGTTCTAACTGCTCCCAGGTTTTCACCAGATTCCACGGCGCGGCAAGCGAGGATCTCAGCCATCCAAACCGTTGGGCCAGGGCATTTAAGGTCTCGGCTGCAGCTCGACGGCTGCGGCGTTGTAGAAACATAGCAACCATATATTCTTCGAGCCAATCGGACAAAACGTCTGAGTGCCCTCGAGCCAAGGTCTCCAACGTCATCCCAGGTAGCTGAGGCAAGAGCCACTCCTCCAGGCTGGCAATCAAACTCGTCCGGATCTGGTGCGTCTTCTCGGTGACTCGGCCTCTCAGCAAGTGCTCCCGGGTCCTGACGCCTTCTGAAGGCGGTCGCGGCGCCTGGACTTCCAGAGCACTGAAGCAAAAGAGCCCCCACAAAAACCATCCACCTGTTGTATGCCCGGGGCAAACCCTGCAAGGCATCCAAAGAAGCTGCACCTGAGCGAAGACCAGCTCTAAGCTGCCAAAACCATGGCGGTAAAGCAATTCGAGGAGGGCTTACGGGCAAACAACGGCTCGGCGAGTCCGCGCGAATGGACCAAGTGGGCAGGTGCAACCCTGAAACATACAAGTTCTTCCCCAAGATCAAGGGAGCCTCGGATCTCATGACTCTATTCAGAGCAGCCGCTGGACTACGGCCTTTACCCAGAGCTCCCAAGTTCACACGACTATCCTGACAAACAACCACTCGCTTGTTGCAAGGCAGACGTTTGAACAACGACCTTCGCGCCTTAGCCTCTTGAATGTTGATGTGAGCATGTTGGGTGAACTTATATTGCATACAGGTCTTCCACGTCAACCCTTCTGAAAGCTGCACTGCCCAGAGCGCAGAGCTTCTTTTTCTACGACTTCTTTTCAATCTCGAGGCCTTTTCGGGATCCTGTTGAGGGTGCAGGACACGAGTTGGGGGATAACGTTGAGGGTGTTCACGATGTGCACCCCAAGGCTCAGCCTTACTGTGACTCTGTAGCCCTGACATGTCCTCCCCAAACTTTCGAGCCTCAACATCCCCCGAAACTTGACCCTCAAAGTCATCCCACACCGAAGCACAGAACGAAGCAACCCTCTCACAAAAGGCCCGACTGTAAGCCCCTGCCAAAGTGGTCTTGTGACCTTTAAGGGGGGGGTGATGACGTGTGTGATGACACCTCTTCTGCAAGCCTTGGAGGGCTCTAAAGTTCGTGATAACACGGGTGGTCTTAGTATACAGTCGCGCATATCTACACCAGTCGAAGAGGACCTCAAACGCCCCACGGGCCTTCAACAGCTCCCAGGGTCTCAAGGCTCGCATGGATCCAAACGCAGGTTGTTCCCCCCCGAAAGCATGTCCCACATCAAGTTGAACCAACGCCAAGAGCATGGACTGAACCGCATGAAGGTTCCCTAAAACACAATCAAAGTCAAGTATATCAAATCCCCACGGTTGACTCAAGTTCCTTAGCTTAGGATGTCGAACACTCGAAAACGTGGTGCAAGGCGGCGCCCACCAAAGAAACTTGACTTTACCACACCTGAGAAGCCCCAAAAGCCCCCAGAACAAGTCCTGACTAGTCATATCCCAACCTCGCTTAAGCTCAACCGGAGGCAACACACTGAACCCTTGTTTGGCCCAGGAAGCACTCATCTGGCCGCAACCAGAGTAAAGTTCTAAGAAGTCCCACGGCCCCTCCTTTAGCGCAGGAGGTATGGACAACCTCCAGTCGTCCTGGGAAACTCGTTCCAAATAGCCGCGTGCAAAAGACAGAGCCTCTACTGGACCCTGCTCAAACTCACTCCTCAAAGGCGAATCCGAAATCTCCGATTGCGAATCCTGTTCATCTAGAACATCGTCCTCATCCAAGCCGCTCTCTTTCAGGGCGGCGGAAAGCCGACTCAAAAGCGGCATCCTATACCCCTGCTTGTCACCTCTACGCCAAATCTCCCTAACAACAGAAACCCCCACTTCAGACCTACACACCCCAGCCCCCGAAGGAGAAGCATCCACACAATACAGATACTTATCAGGCAAAACATGGAGATCAGTTAGACACAGAGGTGCTAAGCAAGCAAGCACAGCAAATTCGTTGCGGGCCCCTGTGGAAAGGCGGAACGGCTCTTCGGCAGTCCCGGGACCCTGTTGTCTGTACGCTTCATACAAGAAACTGAAAATGGGCCGTCGGAATTGGGCGCAAAAGCCCCACAAACCCAAGACTCCATCCAAGGTCTGCTGGTCAATCGCACCCGGGCGGGCGACCTCACTAGACAGCCTTCCCAAGGCCATCAAACGACTACGAACTGGACCTACAAGCCCTTTCTCTCCTTCAATCTCGGCTCCCCAGACTTTGGCGCAAACCCCACGTCGAACGGCCTTCTTCGGATGCGCCTGCAGCCCAGCGTGAGAATAAGCTTTGCCCGAAGCCGCGAAGACCTCCTGATCCCTCGCCGGTTGAGCCAAGGTTTCCTTCAGGCTCTGAAGTCTCGGCAAGAGCTGAAGACCTAAGTGGTCGTCAATCATGATACCTTCCACGAAACCACTAGGGGGGTGCGGCACCGGGTCTCTATACCTCAAAGTTTCGCCCTCTTTCATAGCTCCAAAAGACCTAAGTAAGTTCACATGACTTTCCTGAGCTATATCCACGGCTGCATGGTCTCCCATCCCCAGCCCTTTAAAGCAGCACGCCACACGGCCACCTTGGGTGACTCGACCTGCTGCAAGGGCTTCCTGGAATGCTTTCAAATGACTCACTTCCCCGGGACGGAAAACAGGACCCACCGGCGAACTCCTAGCTCGGGCTTCCGAGGCAGGATAAGCATGGTAAAAGTCCTTTACATCATCGACCGAGCACGCACACACATAGCGCCCTTCCAAGGGAAGCTGGCATAAGAGTACTCCATGTGGCAGATCTCGAGACGCGCCTTGAATGTGACGTTCCTGAAGGTTACGTCTTTTCCGATGCAGGATTTGCCGATCCTTATCAGCATCCTTCGCCACAGCGAACAACTCACACCTATCCTCAGATCTAACCTCAGAACTGTCACATACGAAAAGACGACCGAGATGGTCCCATCGTTCAAGAACCTTGAGAAGTTCCCTACGGGATGCAGTGCCTCGGATCTTAATGGGTTCAGGGCGCTCCGCTTCGGGTTTTAAAAACGCATCGGGGTCCTCGTAAATATGACGGAAGGTAGGACTCAAGTAAGGCCTAGGATCAAAGTCCTGAACCCGATCCGGGAGGCTCAAGCGTTCTGCCACTACGGGCAGGGCCTGGGTAGCAGTGAAGCTGCCGTCCCTCGTTTGAAAATGCCTATGGCTGCACGAGTATGGCAAAGCATCGAATTGGTTCAATTGCTCACGCAGACGGCTGAGTCTATCAGCGGTCGCTGGCAGACGGAGTCCGCATCCAGTGGCACTATGCCCCAGGCGGACAACAGAACAGGCAAAGGATTGCAACCGAGCCGCCATCTGACTTTGTGTCGATGACAACGCAACCCCTCTCCTCCCTCGCTCAGGCGCAACATTGACTCCCAAGGCTTCATGACTCAAAGCACAAACCATGAGGTTGACCCAGAGTTCACAAGCCCTACGCTTACACCAACGGTCACGCCTTCTACGGGACTTCCCTAAGCCGGCCGGTTTAGGCACAACCCAGGGGAAAGGAGGAGGACAAGGAAAGATCTCGTTTGATCCCTTTACAGGTTTTGAGGAGGCTTCAGGGGTACAAAAAGTGCTCCTAAAGTATTGAGCAAGCGGCAAATCCGAACCCTCCAGGTAGCCACACCAAGTCTCCAGCCATGCCAGAGGCGAAGTTCCAGCCACCAGGGCCCGCTCCGAATTCGCCTTCGGGGCCACGTAGTTCAGAAACCTAAAGGGCCGGCCATTCATCCGGCTTCTTCTGTTGCGCCTCGTCCAGCTCCCTTCATTGTCTGGCCCTTTGGCGGCGGATGCGTCTTCTTCTTTGTGAGCCATTCCTCCTCCTTGAGCTCGTTGATGAGGGCCCCGATCCAGGTCGACTCTGCCAATCGTGTGTAGACGTACTGGCGTCTCAGAGCTCCCAAATCCTGGGTGGCCCAAAAGCCCCAAGGAGGTTCTTCCATGCCGGTCACACGGCTTGCCACCTGCCAGTTCTCGTCGATCAGAAACTGCTCCAAAGCCGCCATCATGCGAAGCACCTGCAAGCGAGCCTGGCGCGGCTTGTTCTCCAAGAGCAGGCGGTGAACGTTGGCGAAGCCCTGGAGGCAGTAACCAGCTGTCCTGGACTTCCCCACAGGACAAGACCGCGCAAACTGGAGCGGGACCGTCGGCAAGAGCTCTGTGGTGTCGACGGCCTTGCACATCCGGCTCTCCATGCGCTCCTGGTAGGCCTCGGGGTGGTTCTTCATGGCCACGTTCAGCCTTTCTACTGCCTCGATTCCTCTTCCGCCTCGGCTCGTGGAACTCCAACCTGGGTCTTGCTCCTCGGCGCTCGAGTCTCCACTCTCCCACGAAGGCAAGCCCGGGAGGCGGCGCGACTTCTTGGCCTTGGAGCCATGCATCAGCTTGACCAGGGCCAACTTGAGCAATTCGTCGGTTGAAGCGTTCTCTGCATCCAAAGGCTTCTGAGCTCGGGCTTCCACGGCAGTCTCTCCCAGTCTGCCGGGTTCGTCGGGCAGGCGTGGAGGGGGACGACGCACTTGGTCTCGTACATGTCCTAGCAGGTTCTCCATCTGGTCCTGCAGTCCTCCTCGCCCTGCGCCTGCGGCGGGCCGCGAAGGCCCTGGAAGCGCAGCCCGAGTCTTGGCAGCCGGGGCTTGAAGTCCGTGCACCTTGCTTTCCAGAGCCTGAAAGCGGCTTTCCATGGCAGTCTGAATTTCCACCAGCTGGGCGAGAATGGCAGCGTTCTGGTCGCTGTGCATCTCGGGAGGCACCAGTTCTTGGGGTTCCTCCTCGAGCATCTCTTCCGGGGCAGTGTAGTATTCCTCCAGGCGAGCTTCCCCGCCTTCCGTCCAGCTTGCAACCAAGTCGTTGAGCTCTGAGAAGCTGGGAAGCACGCTGCGATCTGCAGCAAATCCCTGGAAGGTTTTCCGTGACCTCTGGGTCTTTTTGTCCAGCTGCCCTGCAATGGCCATGGACATCTCGACCAATATCACCTCCATCATCTCGGCTTCGCTTCCGGAGCCTTGCACAGCCACTGAAGCCACCATGTGAGGTCCGACCACCCCATCGCAAGGTCCGTCGGCCGCTTCGTCCAGCTCCTCCTGGGGGATGAAGCCGTTGGGGACACACAGGATGACTCCACTGGCACTGGTGCGCAAGGGTATGGCCAGGCAACTCGGGCTCCCAGCGCCATGCCATCGAAGCAACACCAAGTCCACCTGGTCGTCGTTCGCGACGTTCACGCACCGCAAGCTTTGAACTCCTCGCGGGGCAAGTGGCATGGTCCTCCCAGCAGATAGGCCACAACCGTGACTGCTGCGTAGGATCGGGTCTGGGACCTGGCGAATCTGGTCCAGTTGCCGGACGGATCGGAGTAGATGACGTAGACCGAAGAGGGCCAGGTGTCCTTCTGGGACAGGTAGGCACTGAACGCTCGGGTGAGCTGAACTTCCACAGTCCACTTTCCTGCTGAAAACAAGCGGCGCCGGCGAAGAAGATGAAGAAGAGGAAGATTGCGAGAGGGTTCCAGTTCACGATGGACCTCTCTGTCCGGCTCCTCCGCCGGGGACTCACCCACTTGCTAATGGTCGCCGTCGTGTTGATCACTTGTTGCCCTGGACAGTCTTGACTCGAAATTCAAGCCTTCCGCCTCAACTCTCACACGGACAGTGGAGGGGGGAAGGATTGACTCATGCACGGTAGGCCTGTAGACGATTGCGCCCGCCTCGGATGACGGGAAGAGGCCTCTGTTCCAGACCAGGCTGGCCTTCAAGAACAGACAGGAGTAGCCTGGTAGTCCAGACTCGACACCTCACTGAAAAGATCAGGCCTGCAGTCAGACCTCCGCACACAAATCCAATCCAGAAAACCACTAAGACCAAGAGGATGAGCTCAGCTGTCCGGGGCGAGGACGTGCACCACCAGTTGTTTATCAAGGGCAAAGAGCTTACTAGAAGGTCCCTGAACATTCGGGCCGAAAAAACTTGCCGGGTGAGTGCATTGAATCATGCTGTACACCTCAAAGAATGTGGGCCATGAGCAGAAAGAGAACGAATACGGGCAGAATGATTACGAGCAGAGAGAGAACGAAGACGAGCAGACTGAAATCGAACAGAGAGAGAGAACGAATACGAACAGAATGAATACGAGAAGAAAAACAACGAAAACGAGCGGACTGAAATCGAGCAGAGAGAGAACGAATACGAGCAGAATGAATACGAGCAGAACGAGAACGAACACGAGACGAGCAGATCAGAAAAAGAACGAATACGAGCAGAATGAATACGAGCAGAAAGAAACGCATACGAGCAGAATGGAAACCAAGCAGAATGACAAAGAACACGAGCAGAATGAATAAATTAAGTTGGGAGACAGGGCTTGCTGAGGAAAAATGTGAACTTTATATTTCTTAATGTTTTGGGATTCTCTGGGTGGGTGGGTTTTTTTCTAGAGTCCAGACAGCGG